ACAAAAGATTGTAATTACTTAATGCTTATTAGTTTGGTGTTACAAGAATAAACAAAGGAGTATCAGCAAATGAGAGAAGTTTTGGAAGTTGAATGACATTTAGCTGTGGCGGATAGATTACAGTCCAAAGAAATACAGGTTGATCCCACCTGCAAAATTTGTCAACGTGCAAGTGAAACAATCTGTCACGTTCTGTTTCAGTGTGCACCTGACGGACATAGCTCACATTGATGTACCGGTAAATGTGTTTGGTGATTCGATTGAGTATAATGTTTCTTACATTCTTGACTTAATTGAAACTGGTGGAGTTCTAGAAGAGACTCGAATCGCGATTCCATGGCTGATATGGACAATTTGGAAGAACCGTAATTCAATCCTTTATGTCGGAAAGCAAGAAGTTTGTAGAACTCTCTTTCAATGAGCTTGTGAGGAAGCAAGGTTATGGTTCACAATAGCTTTTGCCAACACTAAGCTGTGGAGGGGAGAATCACCACGGTTAGATTTGTCTAGGATTGAAGGATGACTGAGTCTTGTGAGTACGAAATCACAGGAACAAAGAGTTGAAGATGATTTTTATTGATATTTTGCTAAGCAGTAAAAATAAAAGAGTTTTTGTAAAGAATTGCGGATCCTTTTCTCAAGGAGATCATTGATATATATAGTAAATTAGGTCGGCTAGATCAACCCTAGAGAAAAAAGAATTTTTTTCCTTATCTTTTAGGAGTTTCCTTTCCTTGAAGTCGGCCACACCTAGTGGGCTGCGTCGGCCCATCTCGCCATGTCTTGGACTCGGCCCGCCTCATCACGTTTTGGGACTCACCTCGTAGCGGGCTTACCTTGTGGGCTTCTTGGTTATGTCAGCGTACTACTCCATTACAAACTTGTCCTCCCTGCCAGGTGGTATTGTTGGACTCGCCGGGCTTGACGCTCCAGTCTTGTCGTTCTGATAGCACCGTCACGCTGTCCACCTCGCCAGATAAATCACCTCGTCGGACATTGGATAACTGGGTTTGCCCATTCATCTCCAACCCAGTTTCCATACTTAGTTATTTTCTAGTTTTGATCTTAACGGGGTGGAATCCAAACCCTACATGAGCTTAATTCAAATACTACTATGGTTGGGTCTATGATAGATCGCTAGCAACCTCCACCACATGGCACGACCAAATGCAATGTCAATGCCAATTGGAGAAACACCAGTTTGCTTGGTGGCGGGGCGTGGATAGCAAAAGATGCGAATGGCCAGGTATTGTTTCATGCAAGAGAGGCTTTTACTCCACTCTTAACCGAATCACAACGGAATTGCGTTGTATTTTATGGACAATGCAGAGTCTCAATGATCTTCATATTCATGATGTGAGTATTGGGACAGATTGCCGAGTGGTGTTTGAAGCTTTGTCAAAACTTTTTGCTTGGCCTAGGTATAGACTTGTTTTGGAACGCATATTTAGAAAACGTGATAAGTTTCAAAGTTGTGTTTTTTTAATTGAAATCGCAACGGTTAAATTTGATTGCTTGAGAGATATCCAAAAGTGTGCTACGCCACGGGCGTTTTCAATCATATCTCGCAATGGGAAGTCCCGCCTAGCTTCATAATCAAATAGCTCGAGAGTCTGCTTGTTAACATCTATTCCTCCTTACTTTTAGGAGTGTAATGTTTAGCTTATTTTTATTTTTATACTTTGCATTGTGCTTTGTTCTGAGCTTCATGCGACTATTCTTACCTTTCATGGTTTAATAAAATACTCATAAGTTAAAAAATAATAGTTTTAAAAGAGAGTTAGCTTTAGGAATGAGTTAACAACTATGACGTAAATCAACTCTACCAAGTGGTTGGTGGTCTAGTGGTCTTGAAACTTAAAAAAGAGTCTTCAAGGTCACTAGTTCAACTCTACTTGGGAGGGGTGATTTACGCTTTAAACGTAGTATTATCAACGGCTGGCCCGAGACACCAAAGAAATTATGGATCGGTGATACAGAACTCCAACGGTTTATAAAAAAAAAAAAAAAACTATGAGAATTTAAGCTAAATGATAGTATCTATATATTTCCCCATGTAAGCTTATGCATGAATGGTTCAATCCAACATCGTATACTCATAACTTTCAAAAGTGGACTAAAGTACTACTAACTCACCATTATCATGGTCTCACAAACCATCAAATATAATGGGTTAATGTTAAATGCAAGGTTTTTGCATCATTGGAACAGAGAAGCTAAAAACAAAAGTTAAGAGTCCTGTCTGGAAGATCCTCAATATATGCTCACAGATTGTGACACGCACATTCTTCTGTCTTTTTTCTTCAATACAAGAACAAAATAGTCTCGAATAAATGAAGCAAACATTAATTTAATAACGCACTCCATTTCAAAGAAATTGAAGAAGAAAAAGAAGAGCTTCGTTTCCATGATTATGAAAGAGAAAAAGGGTTTCTTTAGATTGAATTAAAAAAAGTGAAACTTTTGGTTTTTCTTTAGCAGCTCTCTA